GAACGGTTTTTGAGATATTGCCCTTGACTTTTTAAAACGTGTTGAAATTTGTTAAAAATAATTCGTGAGCAGGATTGAAGCTACAGTTCCAACCGATTATGATGAAACTTGGTGTGATCATTGGAATTGATAAGATCTCGGACAAGTTCTAACTTGACGCATTTTCGATGAACGGTTTTTGAGTTATTGCCCTGGACTTTGTTAAAACGTGTTGAAATTTGTTAAAAAATAGTTCGTGAGCAGGATTGAAGCTACAGTTTTCAACCGATTCTGATACAAACTTGGTGTGATCATTGAAATTGATAAGATCTCGGACAAGTTCTAACTTGACGCATTTTCGATGAAATGTTTTTGAGTTAATGCCATTAACTTACGAAAAACACGTCAAAATTTGTTTGTGAGCACAATAGAAGCTACAGTTTTCAACCGATTCTGATGAAACTTGGTGTGATCATTGGAATTGATAAGTTCTAACAAGAGATATTTTTGATGAACATTTTTTGAGTTATTGCCCTTGACTTTATAAACACGCGTCAAAAGTTGTTTTTTGCCCTTGATTAGAGCTGTGTGATTTAATTGTTTGTTGTATTTGGGTTATTGATATTGATTTTAAAAAATTTTGTAGAATTATTCAGCATAAACAATTTCTTCAATATAAGAAAATTCGTACTTTAGTCACTAAAGACTGTTTTATTATTTCTGACAGCTGCCAGTGGGTGTATGTTACCTTGCAACGCAAGCTATCTTGTCTAGATTTGGTTGTCGTGGGTCATAGGTGTAAGTCCATGGAATAATCTTCATTTTCTTTTCTTCTTCTTGGTGTTGGGGATCTTTCCCTTGCTTTGCTAAGGGAGCCACAGTTACTGCTCTTGTCTCAGGAAAATGCGTCAAAATTTGTCTGTCAACACAATAGAGACTGCAGTTTTTATACGCCACTATGAATATGTGGTCATATATTGTCGTTGCCCCTATCCATCAACAAAATGAAACTTGGTGTGAGCATCATAAGATGGCAGTCAAGTTCAAATTTATTGATTTTTCCATGCATGGTTTTTTAGTTATTGCCCTTGACTTAGTAAAAATAAATCAAATTTGACTTATAAACCAATTTGGGCTACAGTTTTTATTGAATCTTGATCAAACTTGTTATGCAGGTACATATTAATGAGATCTCAGTAAAGTTTAAATTGTCTATGCTTGTGGGTTATTGCTATTGATTTAAAAAGATTTGTGGAAAAACTCAACTGGCCCTAAATTGATGAGATATTCAGGGTTTTTGAACTACAAATGCATAACGAAGATCTTCAGTATGAGAAATTTGGTATTATTATGAAGATCTTTAATATATTTTTGGTCAATAAAAACTTAATTATCATCTCTGACAGCTGCCAGTGGGCGTATGTTATCCTGCCTGACAAGCTATCTTTATCTGATATTATTGAAATTGATTAACGACCAATACAGCTTCTCTTAAATCTTCATTGCCCAAGTAGCAAAGAATTAAGAACAAGCTGTTCTTGTTGACGGAGAAAATGATATGCACCTAAAATAGCAGCGAAAATAAGTGTGCACCCCATCAGTATTTTCATGTTATTACAATAAGGCACTATGTTAGTTATTTATGTTGACAATATAACCTTCATATAAACAGAATAAGTGCCAGCCTACATTCAAATAAAAGGGGAAAATTCCAAGGCCCTTGGATAATACCAAATTTATAGAATCATATGAGACATATGACATAAGGTAATGAATATTAGTTGGATATATTAGTCAATTTTAAATTGCTTGTATGTGCGATATATATGTTATTTTCTTTTATTCCTTCGAATTGTCTTTCAGGGAGTAGCGCCCGTGCCTTGCCGAGCTATACCGCTGTATGATAATCTTTTAAATATATTACATGTATATACATGTATATTTTGATAAATTATTTTTTTTATTGCATTGAATAATTATGATGCATGGAAGTATATTTAGTTTTGAGACCACTTGTAATATTTCCCTTATTCTTAAAGAAGAAGGAGCACCAAAGGTTGTTCTTTTGAGACCATCACAGGTCTGTACATTTGGGACCATCACAGGTCTATATATAAATATAATCATGCAGTGATGACTGAAAATATAAGACCCTTTTAAATTAAAGAAAGCTGCAGAATGGCTGCAGAAAAATGGAAAACTTTATAAAAATGAAAAATGAAATGAAATGAATGGAGTTTTACTATAAAAATGAAGGTATTGTATTGAAAATTGGCAAAATGAAAATGAATTTAGTGAAACCACTGAATTGATTTCTTCTGAAAATGAAGAAAGTGAAAATGAAGAATCAATCATCGAAAAAGATAATAACAAAATCTAATGATGATTGGAGTGAAG